GTCCTGCAACGCCTATAGGCATGCCCGTTGCGGCTCTTCCGCATCTGGCACCTCCCAAGTTTAGTGGAAAATATTCCGAGCTTAAGAATTTTATTTGCCTGTTCGAAACTCTTGTTCATAACGATCATGCGATCCCGATCATAGAGAAATTCAATCATCTGATCTCATGTGTCTCAGGTGAAGTTCTAGGCACTGTTAGAGCGTTTCAAGGTACCGGGGAGAATTATTTAAAATCATTGGACACTGTCTCCGCCATCTATGGCTCGCTCCAGTCAATAGGTGATGACAAAAAGATTTCTAAAGCGATTCTCATTCACCTCGTTATGAACTAAGTTGACCCAATGACCAGACGAAAATGGGAGGATCAACTCGATTAGGCAGTCATTCCACTATGGAGTGATTGTGAAACAGCCTTGAATCGTAGATATCAACCTTTCTGCTGAAGGAGGCCCGAAGCCAGAGTCAAAGGTTGTTTTAAAAATCAATAATCAAGGTTCGTTTTCGTGTGATGTGAGCTTAAGCGCATGTACTTGGAATTCATGGAGGAATATTTAACTTTAGGTCACATGACTGAAATAGATGGTCAGATTCCAAGTACTCCCCACTACTTCATTCCGCATCAGGGTGTTTTAGGACCATAAAGCAAATCGACGAAGTTACGCGTTATTTTCGACGCGTCCTGTCGGACATCGTCTCAAATTGCGTTGAATGGCCTTCTAATGGTTGGACCGACCATTTAAGAGGAGCTGTACTCGACTCTGCTTCGATTTCGACTCCACAAATATGCGTTGACAGCTGACATCAAAAAGATGTATAGGCAGGTCATGGTGCACGAATCGGATCGAGATTTCCAGCTCGCAGTGTGGAGAAAGAACCCATCTGACTCTTTGAGGTCCTTCAGGTTAAACACCATAACTTACGGCACTGCGCCTGCCCCGTTTTTGGCAATACGGCATTTAACAAAGCTAAGTGAGATGAGCACAATTTTTACGTCAATGATCTACTAACTTGTGCTGCATGCGTAGAGAACCTTCAGACAATTAAGTCTGCAGTGTCGCAAATACTCAAAAGCGCAGTTTTCGAACTAACCAAATGGTTTTCGAATTCTTCTGAGCTCTCTGCAAAAAACGCAGCTAAGTCGATAACGATCTCAGAGTCTGACACAACCAAAACACTTGGCGTGTTGTGGTTGCCGAAAGAAGATGCTTTTCAATTTAAGATTGACGATTTATTCATGATTCTTAGAGCGACAAAACGGAACATTCTCTCGGTGACATCGCGGCTATTTGACCCGCTTGGCTTGTTAAGCCCTCTGATAATCAAGTCAAAAATCCTACTCCAAGAGCTCTGGCTTCAGAAGTTAGACTGGGATAAATCTGTCGCTCAGAGTTCGGATTACTCGTGGCAGCACCTGAAATTTACTCTGATTCAGTTGCAACGAATTAAGATACCACGATACGTGTTTGCAGAGCCAATTTTACCGATCGAGATACATGGTTTGGCCGACGCCTCAATAAGAGCGTTTGGCGCATGCGTATATATACGCAGCCACACTGCAGAAGGTTGTCGTATTTCGTTGTTGACATCCAAATCTAAAGTAGCCCCCCTCAAGACGTGGACTCTTCCCCGACTTCAGCTGTGCGCGGCTCACCTTCTCGCAGATCTTTGTCATCGAGACAGAAATCTCATAAGATTACCGATTGAACGGACGGTTCTTTGGTCTGATTCTGAAGTCACGCTTCATTGGATTCGGTCACATCCTTCGTCTTTGGCAACATTTGTGTCAAATCGAGTGTCTAAAGTCCAAGAATGGACAGAGAAAGCTGAATGGACCATTTACATATAAAGCAAAACCCAGCAGATATTGTTTCAAGAGGCTGCGATGTCGATGAATTACTTGCGTCGATGTTGTTCGATGGCCCTTCATTTTTGAAGGAACCAAGAGAATCCTGGCCGGCTAACTAGCATCTGATGACATATGAGATGCGAACTCTAGAAGTCCGCAAAACAGCTGTTGGACTAGCAGCTATGGTAGACCGACCAGAAATCTTGGCAACTATCGATAGCTTTTTCATCACATGCCAGGCTGCTGAGAGTGTTTTCTTATGTGTTCCGCTTTATTCAAAAATGTAAAAATCGAGAAGTACAATTTGAGAGTATCCGTACGGCGCTCGAAAGCAAAGAAGCTTTCGAGAAAATGGTTGAAGTTATCCAACGAGTTGATTTTAAAGATAACATAGATAGAGTTCGAAAGGGCACACGCGTGGGTCATAGCCTACAGCGTCGTAATCTATTTATACATCTATTTATATTGATCCTTTTCGTTGTTGCGAGTAGGGGGACGACTTGAAAATGCTCCCATATTATATGATGCCAAGTTTCAGCTTCTTTTAAAATAAGCTTGCAATTCGCTAGAAGCTTTAATTTTTAATAGCTTTTCAATGGTTCGTCGGCCGTCGAGGAGTCCCACAGACCGTCCACTGCGACAACTCGACGAACTTCGTAGGAGCAAGTCGCCAGTTCCTGGAGTTGCGAGCTCGAATCGAGGAAGAGGCGGATGCAATTCGCGACTTCGCATCAAAAAGCGGATGCGAATTTGCGTTCATACCGCCAACAGCTCCGCACTTCGGGGGTCTGTGGGAGGCAGGTGTGAAGTCTGCAAAGCACCTACTCCTTCGGACGGTAGGCATCCCGCTGCTAACGGCCGAGGAGCTGCAGACGACTCTTGTCGCAGTGGAAGCCGACCTCAATTCCAGGCCCCTGGGAGCAATAAGCGAGGACCCAACCGATGGCGAGTCTCTAACGCCAGGCCGCTGGTGGGAGGCTTATTGAGGGCTCTGCCAGCAGAGGGGACCCCGGACATGCAGGGTCTCACCAGCTTGAATCGATGGCGAGCTGTCTTTTTTTTTTTGGTTAATATTATAATATATAATGAATATAAAATATGAAAAATGAATATTAAAAGATAAATAGATTTTTTTTGTTTGTTTTTAATATGGTGGCCAACCATTTTTTTTTTTTTTTTTTTTTAAACAATTTTTACCTTACCTTATGTATGTTTGTTTTTTGTTCTTATAATTCTTTATAACTATGTTATCGTTAGGTTCTATTTCTATGACCTTGAATGGTCCTATATATACTGGATCTAACTTATGCCCTGTTTCATTTCTTAACAGTACGTTATCTCCTATGTTTAATTCTATATTCTTTACTTAAGTATCGTATAAGTTTATTCTTTTGCTTGTGTTGCTCAAGCATTATTCTAGCTCCTTTATATGTTGTATGCAACGGTTCAATGTGTTCATTTACACTGTGCGTTGTGGAAGGTGTTGTATGGAAACAAAATATTGTAGCCAAGTATCCAATCAGTTTTATCAACCGATATGTAGGATCGAATGAATTCGTTGAATGTTCTATGGCTTCGCTCTACTGCTCCCAAAGTCTTGTGGTGGTGTGCTGTTGAAGTTATATTTTTGATACCAAGTTATTTACATAAATCTTCTATAACTGAGTTCTTGTATTCTCTCCCATGTCCGTAATGAACGTCTTCATTGGACCATATTTCAGAATAAAGTCTTCGAAAATAGCTTCTGCTACAGTTTTTCCACTTTGGTTTGGTATTGGTATATATATGGCAACAAGGTATTTTGTTAAATCGCATATCAGTGTGACTGCGTATTCATTACCTTGCTCCATTTTGAGTTTTTTGATACTATATATACCGGCTTCTTTTTCAAGCCTTTGGAAAAATTGATCTAAGTCAAAGGCTCCATTGGTATAGAGATCAACAACATCAATTTATGCAATAATCTTTTTCCTATGTTTTAAGAAATATTTGGCCAAATTTAAATGCAAGGTCACTACTTTCTTAACATCATCATTTCGAATGACGTTATATTGTAAAGAAGCTACTGGCCGGGGTACGACTCCCAGACTTACCAGGTCCAGCGAGTTACAAGACATAAATAAGTTCGCGGGGAAAGATGGTTTAAGGGGGAGGGGAAGTGGGTTTTTTGACCAAACCATAGCTCTACGGCTACACGCATACACTATCAGGCCGCGACCTCGCACCACCTACACTAGCGGGCCGTGGCCTCGCACCAACTGCAGTATCGAGCCGTGGCCTCGTACCAACTACACTATCGGGCCGTGGCCTCGCACCAACTGCAGTATCGGGCCGTGGCCTGGTACCAACTCCACTAACCAAACGCTAATACCCACTCGTGGGCTACATTCCCGTACCACATGCTCCCACTCTAGGTTAGGTTGAACATCGGCTAATTCCGATGTTAGAATAAACAGGGTTACCGGAGAATAAAGAACTAGCAAGTTTCCTTCGATAATCACGTCATCGAATTGAAGTTGCGCTCTCGAAGACGGTGTTGAGCAACCGTTCGACAACGCACGGTTGCTGCGACGGCCGGCTGTTAAATTCAAACTTAAGCTAGACCCTTGCTGGCTAAGTGGCTTCTTGCCCTTAATTTACCTATTCTAATAATACCCACGATATAAACTTAACGGCTCCTTGCCTCTTTAATTAATTATAATATTGGCGGCTCCTTGCCTTTTAATTTAATAATCTCATTAATTAGTAATGTCAACTTAATCAACTACAACAATGACGGCTCCTGGCCTCTTTCTAAACAACGATCTTAACCTAATACTATTAATACTTATAAACTAAGAAAACTGATTGGTCGCCCCGCCAACGGCTCCTTGCCGTGATTTTGGCCATAAAGACGACGGCTCCTTGCCACCTCACACCCCCCTTACTTCGGGATGGTGACCGTGACGTCACCTTTTGCGTTCAAAGTAACGCTCTACTCTCGTTTCCCATCTGTTACGTGGAAACGAGTATGTCGGCATCGGAATCGACGGACCCGCGCATCTCTCGCGATGAGCTCTACCACGCCCGTAGCCAGAGGCGTTCCATGGGGGAATACTTTCCAACCCCAGGGGGTTGAATAGGACACGTCGTTCCTGGCGGGACTTCCGACGGTCTCTGTTGGCGTGGAGCTCCTCGACGCGGCTTCTGGGCCGACCTCGCGGCCGACTGCCGCCGTAGGCGTTGGACTCCTCGATGCGGCTTCTGGGCCGACCTCGTGGGCGACTGCCGCCGTAGGCGTGGAAGTCCTCGGTACAATTTCAGGGCCGACATTGCGGGCGACTGCCTCGTCTTCGAGATCAGGCTCCTCATCGAGCACCGACTATAGACTCGTGTCCCATCCGTCGATACCGTCGAAGAGGTCGTCAATGTCCCCCCACAACTCGCTCTTGGTGGGGGGCTTGGTAGCACCTGGTGACGGGACCTCGATCGCACCATTTGACTCCCGTGACTGCGGCGTTGCCATCGTGTCCTCGTCCTCGGAACACACTTCACCTACACTCCTTTGGCGGGTGACGAATGGTGCTTCCGCGTGTGTAGGATCTAGTGGCCCAGGCATTCTCCAGTTCTTTTCGAGAGGTGGTGCCAGACGTTTACGAGTGGGTCGCCTGCACGAGTTGGGGCATCACGTCCTGTTCCTCGAATCGATACTCTTCCCCGACCATCTGGCAGACGGTAACCTCGCTATCCATGGGCCAAGACATTCTCCTCGAAGAGTGTTCCCGGGCTGGGAAGGACCCTCCTGGCGCTCGCGGGGCGAACGCGGCACTTGCAGTTGCGGGCTTCCGGACGTTTCGGTCTCCGTACGAATCTTCTTCGGAACCGATGTCGGTGTTCCCTCGGGACTGGGTTGACGTTGGCCCCTGATTCGACGACGTTTGCTCTGGGTGGCCGGCTGTCGGTGTTGACGGTTGCGTCGACGTTTTCCGCCCTGGCCTTCCCCTGAGCTCACCCTTCCCTTCGCTTCGAGCGATAACAAGGGGGTCCGCTAGCCTTCTTGGGAAATTTCGGTAAATAGCGCAATGTTATCCAGGGATATTCGCTCACTTGATCTACCTCCAGGCGATGGGTGGCGAATCGGCGGAATACCGGTTCGTCCTCTTCACCCTCTGTCAATGGCTAATAAGCCGCCGTGGGTTTCGGTGCCGCCAGGTCCTCTTCTGGTACGGGATCCGGGCTGCGACCGGACTGCTCTGCTTCCGTGGCCATTGGGACGTCACTCGCTGCTTCCGCCGGGGACGATCTACCGCTACGGATTCCTGCGCTGACGGCCCGTGCCTGCCCGTCTCGATCGATGGGAGCTCCCCTTCGGCTTCGGGATCGTCCACTTCGCCGTTTACTGTCGGCGTTGTCGTTTCATACGAACTTGGCGAGTGGGATGCAAGCGGGGGAGACGGGGGCTCTTCTGCATAGGGTGGCCAATTTCTCGCCAACGGCGCTTCCACGATTATGGTCGTCACGTCGACGGCCATCAACATGACCATCCCGTCCAACCTCTCCATTAAGTTGGTTCGCCGAGAATTTAAGGTGTGGCGGAACTGGCGAGGCGTCTCCTTCTGCCGCCCCCTTCTATAATAGTCCCGCCCCTGACGGGACCCGGCCCGGGGAAAGGCTCGGTGTCTGCGCTGCTGACGTCCTCGTCCGACGAGATTGCAATAACTTCAGGTTCCATCTGCAAATTCGACTTATTTGTTAACTTATTCCTTACTTATTTGTTAAAGTCCTATCCTCACAGTGCGGCTCACATTTCGTAAAACCTATTCTGACTATGCTACTAGTGTTAGTCTAATTTAAATTTAGTACAGGTATTGCATTAGCGTCGGATGTCGCTCTCACCCCTCGCCTACTCGTGGGCATCCATAGGTCCTGTGCTTTCCCCTTCCTCATCAGGTGTCTCCTTATGGAATGGCTTCAGCTGAGAAACGTTGACCACCATTTTCTTCCCTTTGCCTGGCTTTACCAGGCGCACGATGTTGGGAAACATGAACTTGACGACCCGATAGGGGTCGTTTCGCGGCGTAGCTGGTGTTGTCTTACTAGAACCATCGAGGCCAACGAAGGCCGCCATACTCGTCTTCGCAGGTTGTAGTGCCTGCCCTGATCCTTTGATGCGCGTTGCAGATTGCTGTGGACGTTATCAAAATTTATTTTAGTCTATCCGCCTTTTTCCTAGTGTCGAGCGCACTAGTTGCGGACCCCGGGTTGCGGACCTGCGGGTAACCGAGGTTCCCTACCCTGCATCAGAAAAGCGGGACTAAATCCTGTTGATTCCGCCACGCTTGTGTTGACCGCTAGCGATATCTCGGGCAAAAGCTCGTACCATGAACTCTGATGGCCCTCGATAAACTGCGCTATCATGGTCTTTACGGTCCGGTTGGTCCTCTCAGTGGGATTCTCTTGTGGACAGTACGGGGCGGTATACTGGACCACTAAACCCAGGGACCCCAAAAACGACTTGAAACTCCGGCTCGTAAACTGTACCCCGTTGTCGCACACAAACTTCCTAGGTACCCCGAACCTACTTAGAATGCTCTCTCGGAATGCGGTCTGCAGGTGTGCCGCTGTGGCCCTCCTGAGAGGCACCAATTCCACCCACTTCGAGAATGCGTCATGGAACACTAGTAGCATCGTGTTGCCATGTCTCGACCGGGGAAGGGGCCCGACGAAATCCGCGCAGAGTACCGCTATCGGCTCTGCCACCTGTCTCGACAGCATGCGACGAACCGGTTTGAGTTGCTCGCTCTTGAACTTCTGGCAGACTTCGCAGCATCTCACGTACTTGGCGGCGTCGCAAACCACCCCGGCCAGAAATATCTCTGAGCCAATCTCGACACGGTTTTTCTAACGCGTGGGAGCATCATGACATTCTTGCAGTACCCTCTGTCGCTCACCACTAGCCACACATAGCTTGCAGGGAATGTAGTCCTCGTCGTCCGTCCGGTGGCCC